AGCTGATTATTATTACCAAAAGTTAGTCCAGGGTTTAATACATAGTAGGTGCTCAATAAATATCCCCATTTGGAAAAGAAGAAAAGAGAAATTGGAGTAAGGATGAGGATAGTTGGAAATGAGAGAGGAGGACTTGGATGTCTGCCCTCAGAGCAAGGAGGTAAGATCAGAGGCCCAAAAGGAAGAGTCCCCTGCCCCTCCTCCGTGCCACCCCACCTGGTCCCCCCCACCCTTGGATTCCAGCTTCCACCCTTAGATTTGTTTGATTCTCTGATGTCTCTGGGAGGCACCTCACTGACATTCCTAGCAGGGAGTAAGGCTTTTTTGGAAGCTTGATTATTTTGACAAAGTTATGAAACAAAATCCTCTGGCAGTAATTTGCCAACTGCCTTTAGCTCTGACAGGCGCTCCTGAAGAAGGATGGCATGCCAGGGGATTTTAAGGGAACAAGGCAGTGGTGCAGCCAACCATAAAAATGAGAAACCCACGGTGAAACTCCATCCCTACTAAAAATACAAAAAATTAGCTGGGTGTGATGGCGCACGCCTGTAGTCCCAGCTACTTGGGAGGCTGAGGCAGGACAATTGCTTGAGCCCGGGAGGCGGAGGTTGCAGTGAGCTGAGATTATGCCACTGCACTCCAGCCTGGGTGACAGAGTGAGACTCCGTCTCAAAAAAAAAAAAAAAAAAAAGAGAGAGAGAAACCATCCTAATCACTCTCCCCCTCTATAGTTATCTCTCTTGCCTAGAGATCACCAGTTCGGACTTCCCGGGTACCTGGAAGAAATCTTTGAAACTGCACACATAGGTTAGTATCAAGGTTTCATCATTGAATCACTGTATGGGCAGTTTCACCTTCTCAATCTCCATTTCCTTATCTGCAAAATGGGAATAAAAACGCCTGTGAGGCTTAAGTAAGACAGTGGAAGGAAATGTGATTGGTCCAGTCTCACACCTGTTGGTTGTGAACCTGAATCCTGCTCAGAGAGAAGAAGACAACTTTGGAGCCCATCTCACAGCTCCCCAGCTCAAGCATTCTTATTAATGTGCAAAATTTTGTGTGTGTATGTGAACATTTTTCCAGAGGAGAGGCTGATAGCTTTTCTTGGATGCTCAAAAAAATTCAAGACCCCAGAAATGTCCTAAGGAACAACATTGTCTGCATGTGGTATGGGGTCTCCTGCTTGGTTCCATGGATAACCTCCCAGTGAGCACCACAACTTTTTGACTGCATCCCAGATGGAAACCACACACTTGGGATGTGTAGTTTCATCTGCAGTCATCTGTGTGCTATTTTACCCCTCTGTGTCTCAGTGTCCTCACCTGTGAAATGAGAGACAAGAAACAATATCAGCCAAGAACTCACCACGATGCCTGGTGCATGGTGGTCTCATTGCAAGGTTTCCCCTCTTAGCTCACCACTCTCACCCTTTTAGGCTGGAATCTGGGGAGAGAAAAGATGGAAGGCAGTGGAAGCAGGAAAGTAACAATTTTAATTTATCTGGCCTCAATCTGGCCTTGAGTTCTTTTATGTTTTTCCCTATGGTAGCAGTTATGGGTTCTTTGAAGGCCTCTATTGCTGGTGAGCTCTCTCTGTCATTCCTTTGATGCAGCGAATGCATTTTTTCCCTGCTACTCATCATGTCTCATTCCTCATTCCCAGTTAGTGGGCCACCTCCAGCTGCCTTTGACTGAGCTCACTTCGCCCTTCCTAGGGACTCTCTGTAACAGAATCAAGGGCAACCCCACACCTGCCTACTTACCCACACCTCATCCACTGAAGACACACACCTTTGGCCTGCTCAGGAGGAGCACAGACCTCCTTCCACTGCCCCCTGGACACTTCGGCCTGCCTGTGTGTGATATTCATTCAGGGTGCAGCCAAGAAGCAGTGGTGCTCTTTGTGAGGTTATCCATGGAATCCCTTACGTTACTCAGGCAGGACCCAGACCCTAGTCAACTCTCTAATGCACTGTACTTTTGATGGGAGAGAAGGGTTAACAGAGGCAGAACTGGTGTTGGCCGCCTCCTTTGCAAGTCCCGCAGAATGGTTTCACACCTTGCTTTGGAATATGACATCTCTTGTCTCGAGGCCTTGATAGAATAGGAGACCAGAATATGTCTCCTATTTATATTATAAATACAGAAAATGTCTATATTTAATGTATTTTAAATACATTAAAAAATGCCATGAGCATTTACTGCTGGGAGGTGGAGAAAGGGAAATGGAGATGGAATCAGGGATGGCATCCTAGAGAAAGTTATAATGGAGATGGATTCTGAAGGATAAATACGAACTTACCAGATATGAATGGCCATTTCTGATGGCAGAAACCATGTGTCCAGGCTCAGAAGCATGAGGAATGCATGTATATTTGCCATTCAGGAAATACACACCGCAGAGCATAGTAGAGTAAGGATGGGACTTAGGCCAACATAACTTAATTCAAATCCTGACTCTATCCACTCACTTGGATGACCTTGGGCAAGTAAGTCAACCTGGGCCCCTCACCTGGGCTGCCCATTTCTGAAGCCAACGATTATCCAGCTTTAGGTCATAAAAATCCCCTAGAAGCTCCTTAGAAGTGCAGATCCTCGAGCCTCACTGGCAGAAATTCTGACTCAGAAGGTCTGAACTGGAGCCCAGGATTATTCTGATGCAGGAGGTCTGCAGATCATACTTTGCGGACCTCAAGAGTCCCGTCTCTAAGACAAGGTCTGGCATATAGCTGGTGTTTAGTAAGCGTTTTGAGCAATGAATGCAGGAATCAAATGAATCCATTTCAATGCAGCTTGTCCTGGAGAATACTGCCAGAAGTAACATACGGCTGCCTAAAATATCTCTACACATGTCACACCGCAGAAGTGCCGTCCGCCTCACAGAGGGGTCTTCACAGAGGTAAGGGGCTCAGGTGCATCCGCCCAATCTGGGAACATTAGTCAGATCTGGTGACAATGGTGAAGGTGGGAAGCCTCCCCAGGGACAAATATTATGGTTATTTTAAGCCTCTCTGTGTCATCACTGTGGCGATGAGTTGGAGTTTGGGAAAGCTAAAGAAAACCACTTGTGATTCTTTGCAAAAAGCAACATGTTATGAGGATCTTAGACCAAGCAGAGGAAAGAACATAGGGCTGTGGAGTCAGACACCAGTTGGGCTTTAGTCCTGGTGATCATTTCACCTCTTAAGCCTCAGTGTCCTCATCCGTAAAGTAGAACTAATGTTACCCGCTGCAGGGGACTGCTGTGTGGAGTCAGTGAGTGGCAGGGATCATTGTTCAGGGACATGAGGAAGGTAGGAAGTAGATGGTAAAGGACATTCCTGGACATGAAATAAATAGAGACCACACAAATGAGAACAATAGAGGTTATTTATCCTGTGCTTGCTGTAGCCAGGGAGTCATGCACCATCATTTGGGTTCAGGAGATTCACAAAGGCAGGCAGAGGAGTGGAAAGTTTTGTAATGGAGGAAAGGGAAGCTTTCAACGTTCTCTGATTGGAGGTTGTTGGCAAACAGAAGCTGGAGGAATCTAACTAGAAGCAGGACGTTTGACATGATTGGTTTGGGGAGAGCACTTGGCTTTCTTTGGTTGGTCCTGAGTTGGAAACTAGGTCAAAACAAACAAGGAATTTGGCAGTCACCGATCACGTCTTACCATTCTGGGCTAAGTGCCGCAGAGATTGTGGTTTGGCTTCCTAGACTGATTGCTGCAGGGGTCATGGGTCAGAATTCTATTATCATATATGGTTTTATCTTTATCTGTTTGAATATTCAGGCTCTCACTGAGCATTTACCACGCAATACTTCAGCAGAAATTTATTGAGGGCCTTCTCTGTGTTCTAAGGACACAGCTATGAGCAGAGCAGAGCAGATTTCCTGCCCTCGTGGAACTGCCCACATTTCACCATCATTGGGCTTAGTGGCATCCCTCCATGGCCCTGGGGAGCCACCCTCTTTCTGTGTCCATGTGCAATTTAGTCCTTCATGGCTATGGGTGCTGCTAACAGTGGAGGCTCTGTTTATTCAAATTTCATATTTCTTGGGATTTCAATGATTCTTCTGGTGGTCCAGAAGCCCCATGTTAGGCCCAGGGCCAAGCTTCAGTCAAGAGCAGAGTCTTTCCTTCCCACCCACCTAACATCAACCCTCCCTGGATGGGACTCCCACTGCCCAGCCTGTTGTGTCGTGCAGGCCCCTACCATTCTGTTGTCCTCACAGCCACTTGCCTTCCCTCCCACTGATGCTGGTGCCCTTGGCAAAGAATGTCAGTGTGGCTATAGCCATAAGAAGTTTGGTTCCTGCAGGTCCCTGGAGCCTCTCTCTACTTCTATGAGTTCTGCTTCTTTAGATTCCACATATAAGTGAGACTGTGCAGTATTTCTCTTTCTGTATCCAGCTTATTTCACTTAGCACAATGTCCTCCAGGTTCATCCATGTTATTGCAAATAAATGAACTTTCCTCTTTTTTTAGGTGAAATACTATTTCATTGTTTATATATACTACACTTTCTTTATCCTTTCATTTGATAATGGACTGTGATTTTTCTTAATGAAACACTGACCCATGCATCCACAAAAGCATCCCCTTCTATTACTCTCTGGGCTGCCAAGAATCATCTCAAGTTAAACAGCATGACCTTTTAAGATCTAAAGCTTTCGGGCCAGGCACAGTGGCTCATGCCTGTAATCCCAGCACTTTGGGAGGCCAGGGTGGGCAGATCACGAGGTCAGGAGTTTGAGACCAGCCTGGCCAATATGGTGAAACCCTGTCTCTACTAAAAATACAAAAATTAGTGGGACATGGTGGCTGGTGCCTATAGTCCCAGCTACTCAGGAGGCTGAGGCAGAAGCATCTCTTGAACCCAGGAGGCGGAGGTTGCAGTGAGTCGAGATTGCACCACTGCACTCCAGCCTGGGCAACAGAGTTAGACTCTGTCTCAAAAAAGAAAAAAAAAAAATCTAAAGCTTTCATCTTTTCTGCTTTCGAATTTCTCCAAATAGCTCCAGAAATTGCACCAGCAGGATCCCGGAAATAAAGCTTTAGGTGTCTCTTACTGAGAGAAAGGACTCACACACCTTCTGTTTCCAGAGGCGACAGACTTCTTCCTGTGCAGATCTCCACTTGAGTTGACTAGAGGAACGGGCAAGGTGAATACCCCAGAATCAGACCAACCTCATGTGGGGGTCTGCACTGTCACATCCCTGTGAGTGACCTTGAAATAGTAACCTCGGTGAGCCTCAAAACCCTCGTCTGTGATGGAGATTATTACAGTATATATCATCCAGGGTCGATGCAGTATCCAGGTTAAATAATGTAAGGGGTGTGCCTTAATACATTTTCTGTTGCTTATAACAGAATATCTGAAATTAGGTAATTTGTTTTAAAAAGGAATTTATTTCTGACAGTTATGAAGACCAAGAAGTCCAAGGTTGACGACCTGTATCTGGTGAGGACCTTTTGCTGCTAGTTCTTCTCTGCAGAGTTCTGAGGTGGTGCAGGACATCATATGGCAAGGGGGCCGAGTGTGCTACCTCAGGTCTCTCTTCCTCTTCTTACAGAGCCCTCAGTCTTGTTCTCGATATAACTCATTCATCCATTAACAGGCTAATCCATCCATGAGGGCAGAGCCCTCGTGACACAGTCACGTCTTAAAGGCCCCACCTCTCAATATTGTCGCATTAGGAATTGCATTTCAACATAAATTTTGGAGACAGATATTCAAACCATAGCAACACATACAACTCCTAGCACATCTTGTAGATTTTTTTACAAATGTTGTATTAAATCGAGGGAGGGAAAAAAAAAAAAAAAAAAAAAACCTCTTTGAATAATGTTTGCCCTGCAATAGATGCTAAACTAACCTTTCAAGCAATGTTATCTGAGAGGCTTGATAACTTACGGAGACGTTCATTTTTGTTCCTATATGTCTCCTCCAGGAACTGCCTTTTGGGAGTTGTTTTCCAGAAAAAGAGCTCATTAATAGGTTATACTGGAGGACGAGAGAGAGGCCAATGCCTCTGAAGGCACTGCAGGTGATGAGGAGGGGTCCTTTGTAGACTCAGCAGGTCAAGATGGACAGTACAGGATGTTAGCAGCACCCCAGGAGGGGGCAGGATCTCCAAGAGCAGCGGTATCCTGGATTGATATGTGACCCAACAATGACGGAGGTGAAATTTCCCACCAACCATGTGAATGGAGGTTTTAAGACAGATTGCATTTAGCTTAAAGATAATTCAAAATGTGAGTTTTTATTGCTGACTTTGTGGAATAGGGTGACAATGGTGGTGGTGGTAACAATAAAAAGCTATCCTGTGCCATTTTCAGGAAAAGCCACAAAAGATGTTAAAAAGAGTCAGAAAAGCTGGGTCCTGTGAGAGGGTAGGAGGAGGGCCCATGTAATAAAAGGAAGAAAGAAGGATAGCGTAAATTAAGAAATTGCATCTCCAGAACTTTGCCTGTGATAGTGTCCTGCTGACTGGAATACTGTTTGGGTCAGAGATTGCTTTTTATGAACAAGCAAAATAATACAAACACTTACATTAGTCAAAGGTGATTTATCATAAGGCAGGAACTGCACTGGACACGTCCACCCCCTCCTGTGTGGGACTCTCTCTCGGGACCATGGGGTCTCTCGTTTTGCTTTTCTCTTCTCTTTCATTCTACAGCTTTCTCTGCAAACCTGCAGTCTCTGTTTACCCCTCAGTACTGAAGGTCCTAAAGAGCTGCCTCTCCCTAGAGGCCTCAGCCCCAAGTCCACGTGACCTCGAGGGTCCAGCACTAGCTCCCCTCTGTCCCAAAAGCCCAATTTCAAATTCGCAGGAAAGTGAATCTGATTGGCTAGATTCAGCCAATGGAGTGCGTCTCCTGGTCAGCTGTCCACCTTGATCCAATCAGCTATGGCCAGCGAGAGGCAGGGCCCTGCACTGTGAAATGTGGCTAGAAAGGATCATAGTATAGAGGAAGCGGCTTTCAGCTGTGCTGAGCAGGCATCTGTCCCAGGTGTCTGTGTCACCTGCGCCTCCTACCTTTCACCCGGTGAACACCCACACAACTTTTAAGCCTCCTTAGGACCAGTCGGGGAATCAGCTCCTCCCTCCTGAGGGCTCCCTTCTGGTAGATAGAGTTCTATTACAACTGCACACCTCATTGCAATTTTTTGTTTACATGACTATTTGGTTTTGTTTTTAGTTTGTTTTTAGTTTTGTTTTGTTTTTTGTTTTGTTTTTTGTTTTGAGAAGGAGTCTCACTCTGTCACCCAGGCTGCAGTGCAGTGGCACAATCTCAGCTCACTGCAACCTCCGCCTCTCGGGTTCAAGCAATTCTCCTGTCTCAGCCTCCTGAGTAGCTGGAATTACAGGCACCTGCCACCATACCTGGCTAATTTTTGTATTTTTGGTAGAGACGGGGTTTCACCATGTTGGCCAGGCTGGTCTCGAACTCCTGGCCTCAGGTGATCCGCCCACCTCAGCCTCCCAAAGTGCTAGGATTACAGGTGTGAGCCACTGTGCCTGGCCTACATGACTATTTTTCGTGTATCTAAAGAGTCACACTCATCCCTAGAGTCTAGCCTAGGGCAAAGAAATGCTGACTGGCTGACTGAAGAAATGAATTGCCAGTCAGTTTTACATTCTTAGATTATATTTTAGCCCTCTAAGATTAGAGTCCTTTGAGGTACATATCACTATTGCCCAGAAAGATGAAATGATTTATTTATACCACATAGCCCATTAGAAATGGAATAAGGGTTTGAACACAGGTTTCATGACTCCAGATCCCTTAACACAACCGTTAAGACCAGTCTTATTCTCTAGTGTAGATGTTTTCACAACCTCTTGGTTTTATCATCTCTAAGAGATTTATTTGAATAACACTATTTGCCTTTTTTGAGGCACTGTGGGAGAAATAATTAGTGCTTATCCACTGTCTGAAAATGGCAGGTTATAAAATGTAGCAATCTAGCTCAGTCTTCATTTTTAGATCTATTATAGAACATGAAACTCTACTCTGCAATCAGAGTAGAAACGCTTTTCTTTGTCTGTATACTTAAAAGTTTATTTGAGCCCTTGTTAAATTCCTTTTTTTAACAAGCATTTGCTAAGTGACTGCTCTGTGCCCTCCCCCGTGCAATAAGCTCGTGATACAAAGATGATTACAAAAGACAGACCGGGGTAGAGCCTGTTAGAACCTGAACTTTGGCTTCATGGAATTTATAACAATTTTAAATGATTAACTATTTATGTGATTGTCCTGTTAATGACTACCTCTCCCATCAGGCTGGACGTCCTGCGGAATGGAACCTGTCTATCTTTTGTTCACCGCTCTCCTGGTGCCTGGAACAGTTCACCCTCCAGGAGCTCAGAGTTTGATGATAGAGATGCATCCATCCAGACCACTATAACACAGGGAGACCGCTGCTCCACCAGAGGGGGGGTGTATACAAGGGTTGTGGGTCCTCAGAGAAGGAGCCAACCCATTTCCCTGGAGGAGAAAAGTAACATGGGAAGGTTGCCCAGAGGAGGTAGATAATTGAATATGACCTTAAAGGAGGAAGGAGCACTTTGGTTTTTCTTTATTTTAGACAGCCACGCTCTGGTGTAACTCCCCTTCACTCCTACCTCCCGGCTACTTCATCCCAAGGCCTGACAGCTGGGGTCCCAGGGAGGCCTGATTCATGAACTAGGGGATGCTTGTCTTTTGTCCTTTATTTTATCCGGAATAAGGGGTCTTGAACACTTGGAACTCTTGTCTACAAGGATGCTCATACTGTTTATATTCATTTTGAATATTTTAGATCATCAATCTGCTACTCCCTCCTCTGTTCCTAAGAAACTCTGAACATCCTGTCTTTGCATGTATGACATATCGTAGATTCCTGAGAAGACCTCCTTTCCTCCACCAGACTGGGAGTCCCCCAAGGGCAGAGTTCATGAATCAGCCCTCTCGGTGACCCCAGATGCCAAGTCTTGGAAGGAAGTAGCCACTCTGTACATATTAAAGTATATTGAGAAATAAAGGAAACAGAGAAATTCTCCCACTGGGGCATCTTGTTGTTAAGATAACTTACATTCTGACTGCCAGGGTCCCTGAAAGACAGTGTTTGTTTCCCAGAACAGTAATAGCCACGTTAACTCATGAGGATTATAATTCAGAGCAACTTTTGATAAAAGGAGATATTTACTTCGATATGAAGGTTCCAGCAAAACAAAGTGGGACCAATTAATGCGTGTGTATGGAGTCATATTTGTCTTAATAACCACAGCCCTTTCTCAGGGTGAAAGACGGCAGCTAAATGTCTTACTCTGGATGTCTTCAGTGTGTTTGGTCGCCATTTAAATCCGAGATAAATGCTTTGCATTCTGAAAGCATGTTTCAAAAAGCTCAACAGTTTTAACTGAGATGATTAAAATTCAATTGCAAATCATTATCCCTTCTATTACATTTTGCTCATTATTCAAAACGTGGACAATAGAACTCTAACCAGATTTGAGATTTTTCCTGTCTCATTGCCTGTATTCATTCATTCATTCACTCGCTCGCTCATTTACCCATTCTTCCTATCAAATGTTTCCTACGTGACAGACTTTTGTAAAGCAAAATCTTCCCCTCATATTCTACTGTCTCTAAATTACTCTCGCGAGCAAATTTGCAGACAGCATTGCCAGAAAACAGCTGACATTTGGAAGGTTATTTTGATAGACTAGTCACTATCACTGCTCCTGCAGACGTTTTTCTCCACTCAAGGCCGTTTAAAATGCCTGATTCCTGACTTTCAGGTTTTGGAATCAATAGCTATGAAATCTGATGAAGCCATAGTGAGCATTTAGCAGTTTGTAACTCACTTTACCAGCTTGCTGCCCAGATGCATTTCTATGATTGTTTCAGTTGATTTTTCAAATCCCCTAGTTCTTCTCTTAATGCATAGTCCACTGTCTCTGTCTTAGATCTCCCTGCCACTCCCACACTGAAAACCCTATGGACGTATTAGGACATACACTCCTCCTCCTCTTGCTCTTTTGAAAGGCCAGATAGAACAATACATAAATAAAGCCAGAAACCGAGAGAACTGGAGAGTCCGACTAATCCAGTCATGACTACCACTGTAACACTCGTTACTTCCACCCAGCATCTCTACTAAGCTCTAGTCCCGGACAGCCTTGCCACACAGTGTGGCCCACACGCCAGCAGCATCAGCACTTCCGGACAGTTGTTGGTAAGGCAGAATCTCAGCTCCATCTCAGACCAGCTGGATAAGGACCCACACTGTAATGTGATCCCCAGGTGATTCACATTACAGCCTGAGTGGTGCTGATCTGAGATCCTTGTGTCCACTAGTGCATCATGACCTAGTGGCCCCAGATCCCTGACAGTGTCACAGTAGTGCCCACGTTGGTGTTTGACACGATTGCAGCTCCCTTCATGCTTGCTCACAAGCCCCGCCCTGTTTCTACTAGGCCAGAGCAACTGAGGCTGGTTGGGGCTTCCCAACAATAGCTGTGCACTGTGCTAGAAGCAACCCAGCCTTCAGAGCCCTCCCCCTAACCCCCATTTTTGAGACAGGGTCTCACTCTGTTGTCCTGCTTGGAGTGCAGTGACATGATCATGGCACACTGCAGCCACAACCTCTCACACTCAAGCAGTCCTCCCACATCAGCCTCCCAGGTATCTGGGACTACAGGCATGCACCACCAGACCCAGCTAATTTTTACACTTTTTGTAGAGATAGGGTCTCTCTATGTTGCCCAGACTGGTCTCAAACTCCTAGACTCAAGTGATCCTCACCTCAGCCTCCCAAAGTGCTGGGATTACAAGTGTGAGCCACTGCGCCCAGCCCCTAAGACCCTTTAAGTTGAACTTGGGTCACTCATCTACCTAGAAATTCCCTTCCTCCCTTCCCGGTGAGTTGCACTCTTGGCTCCTGATGTCCCTTCCTGCCAGGGATCCCCAGTAGCATTAAACCTCAAAAACAAAGCAGATTTCCAGTCTTTTCCTTGTAGGGGGTCCTTTGGCCCATGTGCATATTTAATGCTTCTTCCAGTGAACAGCCAAAGCAATTTTAAAAAACAGGAAAAATAAACATTGGAGGACTTACACTATCTGATTCCAGGGTTTAATACAATGCTTCAGGAATCGTGATAATGGCATTATGACACAAGGACAAATACATCGACCAATGGAACAAAAAAGAGCATTCAGAAACAGACTAGCACCTATGTTCCATTGATTTCTGACAAAAGTGTAAACTTAGTTCAATAGGGGAAAGAAGAGTCTTTTGGGCAAATGGTACTAAAACAACTGGACATCAATTTGGGGAAAATGCATTTAACCCTTTCCTAACACCATGCATAAAAGTTATTTCAAAATAGATCATAGACCTAAATATAAGAGCTAAAACTACAAATTTACAACACTTATGAGAGAAAACCTAAAATCTTTGTGATACTGAGATGGCCAAAATTTCTTATATAGTATACAAAAAGCGTAAACTTCAAAGAAAAAATAATAAATTAGACTTTATAAACATTTAAAACCTTTGCTTTTCAAATGACATTGAGAAAAAGAAAAGAAAGTTCACCGACATAAAGAAAAATACATATGATATATCTGATAAATTACATATCTAACACATATAAAGTACTCCTCTATAATTATGAAATAAATAGTCTAGTAAAAACAGTGAAAAGATTTAACCAGACACTTCACAGTAGAAGACATATGAAAATGCAATAAACATCTTACACTAGTCAAAATGGCTGTTAAAAAGTCAAGAAATAATAGATGTTAGTGAAGATACAAAGAAAAGAGAAGTCTTATACACTGTTGGTGAGAATGTAAATTAGTACAACCTTTATGGAAAACTATGGAGATTTATCAAATAGCTAAATATAGAACTACCAGTGGTACAGCAATCCCACTTCTGGATGTCTACCAGAAGGATGCCTACCAGAAGGATGTCTACCAGAGGAACACAAATTACTATCTCAAAAAGATACTTTCACTCGTATGTTTATAGCAGCACTATTTACAATAGTAAAGATATGGAATCAGCCTGCGTCTGTCAACAAATTGGATAAAGAAAATGTGGTATGTGCACACAATGAAATATTATTCAGCTATAAAAATATATGAAGTCGTGTCTTTTGCAGTAACATGGATGGAACTAGAGGCCATTACTCTAAGTGAAACAACTCAGAAACAGAAAGTGAAATATCGTATGTTCTCACTTATAAGTGGCAGCTAAATAATGTGTACACATGGATATAGAGTGTAGAATGACAGACAGTGGAGACTGGGAAAGGTGAAAGGGTGGAAGAGGGGGTGGGTGATGAGAAATTACTTAATGAGTATAATGTACATTATTTGAGTGATGGATACACTAAGAGCCCAGACTTCATCACTAGTTGATATATCTATATAACAAAATTGCACTTGCACCCCTTAAATTTATACAAGTTAAAAAAATGTGAAAAGATAGTCAAAATCTTTTGTCAAAGGATAATGAAAACAAAAATTACAATGAGATACTACTACATACCTACTAGAATGGTTAAATTTTTAAAAATTGGTCATATCAAATGTTAATGAAGATGAGTGTGGACAACCACTTTGTTTAAAAGCCTGGCAGTTTATCATTTTTAGAAATTCCCCATATACCTTCCATATATTCCAGTCATTTTACTCTTAGATATTTTCCCCAAATTGAATTAAAACATATATCTACACAAAAATGTCCACATGAATGTTTGTGGAAAATTTATTCATAATAAAAAACTGTGTATATTTATACGGTGAAATAGTACCCTATTAGAACGAATAAACTACTGATACCTACAATACGGTTCAACTTAAAATCACTACGCTAAGCAAAATAGGCCAGACACATAATAGTATGTATTATATAATTTCACCCCTATGGCATTCTAGGAAAACAATTCTCTTCTGTAATGACAGAGAGTAAGCAACTAAGCAACTGCTGCCTGAGGCCCAAGGTAGGCATGAGGATTTACTACCAAGGGGCATGAGAGATCTTCTAGGGAAGATAAAAATTGTTCTATAGTTTAATTACATTGGTTACAAACATGTATATATTTGTCAAAACTCACAAAATTATGCACTTACACGGGTGAATTCAATGTATGTAAATTATTTCTTAATAAATTTGTTTAATCATAACATGGGACGAGGGAGAACTAGATTGGAATATAGATAAAACAAAGTTGACCATGAGTTGGTCATTTTTGAACCTGGGTAATAAGTACATAAGGATTCATTATACTACTTTCTATACCTTGGGTAAGTTTGAAATTTTCTATTAAAAACAAGTGGAAAATGGGGGATTCTAGGAAACGGTGGAGTAGGAAGCACCAGAGATCTGTCTCCCCAGGACAACAATCACACTGGCGAATCTATCTGATAGAACTATTTGGGAACTCTGGAGTGTACTGCAGGCTTGCATCTTTCAGGAAAAGGCCTAGATGATAAACAGGAGTGAACTTCAGTTTTAGCCCTTAGCTCAGCAGCAGCTACACATGCCATACCCCCAACCCCATGGCAGATAGCTGTGCATTTGTTCCTAGAGGACCCTGCACACAGCCCATGGGAGCCAGTGTGGGAAAGAAGGAACCTATTCTCCAACTCCTAGGGACCAATGTTCTGATCGCTGATTCCTGCTCCTGGTCACAGAGATGGGTAGTCATTGTGGTACTCCTTCCCAGTTTTTACAAGCCCTTCCCCTGTGCTGAAGCAGCTCCAGGGGATATAAAAGGTAAGTGGCTTTCTCCCATCTTCATTTTTCTCTTTTGAGAGCTGGTCATTAAAGACTAGGACATTCAAAAGCAACTACATATAAGAGGAAATTAGAAAGTAAGTATGCAAACCCACAGGATAGCACACACTCAGAAAATCCCTGAGAAGACTTTAAGTTTACACCGGATGCTGATCCTCAACATGGAGACAGTTTACAATAATCAAAAGAACAAAACAATAAAAATTCAGCAAACTCAGGAGAATAGGAGGAATCTGTTTTCCAGAGTTACCACATTACTAGGTTTAAATGTCTAGTTTCCTTTTTTGTTGTTGTTGTTTTTTGTTTGTTTGTTTGTTTGTTTTTGAGATGGAGTCTCACACTGTCGCCCAGGCTGGAGTGCAGTGGCCCAATCTCAGCTCCGTGCAAGCTCCGCCTCCTGGGTTCACGCCATTCTCCTGCCTCAGCCTCCCAAGTAGCTGGGACTACAGGCACCTGCCACCACGCCCAGCTAATTTTGTTTTGTGTTTTTAGTAGAGATGGGGTTTCACCATGTTAGCCAGGATGGTCTTGAGCTCCTGACCTCAGGATCCGCCCGCCTTGGCCTCCCAAAGTGCTGGGATTACAGGCATGAGCCACCACACCTGGCCTCAAATGTCTAGTTTTCAACAAAACATCACAAGCCTTACAAAGAAACAGGGAAGAATAGCCTATTCAAAACCCAATAAATAAATGAGCAGAAACTGTTCCTGGGAAAAATCAGATAGCAGACTTACTAAACAAAGACGTTAAAACAGTTATCTTAAAGAAGCTCAAACAACTAAAAGAAGATGTGAAGAAAGTCAAGAAAATGACATATGAACATTATGAAAATAATAATAAAGGCCTAGAAAACCTAAAAAGAAACCAAAAAGAAATTCTAGAGCTGAAAAGTATAATAACTGAAATCAAAACTTTTACTAAAGAGATTA